AATGTTTTGGATGTGTTGGACTTGCCTGAAAATGTTTGCAGGTGATGAAGAAGTTGTCTGGTGCACACAGAAGGTGCACCAGAACATCCAACGGAGCTAGCCAACGGACCATGGCAAGGTCCGTTGGTCAAGCCTCGTTGAGCGGTGGATCATGGCAAGGTCCGTTGCCAACCCCCGTGTTAGGAATATATTGTAATAGTTTGATATGCTAAATTGTATTTTAGAATCCCCAATTTTATTTGTTAAGTCTAGGCGTGTCATAGACCACAAAAAGACAATTAACAAATATGAAGAAAGGGAAAAATACGAAGAAGAAGATGTATGCGTATGATATATATACTAAAATAGCCCACACGCCCAACTCAAAGAAGAAAGTTATACTGATGAATCTCATACGGAAGAAACGAGAAGCAACCGCAAATTTCATGAAGTTATCTTGAAGCTCAAGCATCTATGGAAAGAAAGAAGTACATCAGAGGAATGTTATATTTACCAATAATCCGTACAGCCGAGATGGATGGAAGTTTGGTGTATAAACCGAAAGGTTTCAGGTTCGAAACTCTCTTCTTATAATGATTATAAGGAAGCCTTAAATCAGTTCCAGGATCAGAAGTTTCGAAATCAATCAATTAAATGGAATAAAGTAGTTAGAGATATGAAGTCTCATAAAGCTATATATAGTAAGAGCTTCCCGGTTTGCAAAGTCAAAGTCTTCATAAGTCAAGTCAATATGAAGATATGAAGTATGAAGTTAGAGATGCAGTTCACAAGTCAAAGTCAAAGATTGGCCGAAACACTTCATCAGTAGCCATACAGAGAGAATAAAATACACAGAAGATGAAAGTCCCAGAAGGCGCAAGATCTACATCAGAATTATTTTAAGAGCCAGAAGGCGCAAGATCTACATCAGAATTATTTTAAGAGCCTTCACGTGAAGACAGATCTACAACAGAAATATTTTAAGTTTCTTCACATGGACCACATACAGAGCAACTGCCGAAATAACAGAGAGATATTATTCTTAATATGATCCTCTGAAAAAGCTACAGATCTTCTGCAAAAAGGCTACAAGAATTCAAATTTGAGATTTGGAATTCAAATTTGAGATCTACAATTCAAATTTGAGATTGTCTTTTTCCAACGGATAACTTCTCAAAACCAGCTATAAAAGGATGAAGAATGAAGCAGATGAATGAACTTCCAACACAAGAAACGAACTGCATATATGAACAAGTGCTATACTCAAAAGTGAGAATATATTCAAAGTGAGAAAAACACTCAGAGAGCTCAAAGAGAAAATATTCAAGAGTGTTTAATTCATCATCATTGAGAGACTTACTGCACATTGAAGATCTATTAAAGAAGTCTCAAAGTTGGAAGCCAGTGAAACTTGTTTTTCTACAAACAAGTGAATCAACAGTGTTGGAGAACACTGGACGTGATTAGTGTGGGCTTTGTGATTAAAACACTAGTTCACGGGATCGTCGAAGACGGGGGTAAAGTAGCACGGAGTTGTGAAATCCTGGATTGTCACACGGAGCTGTGAGATCCGAAACAGCAGTGTTGGAGAACACTGGGCGTGATTGGTGTGGGCTTGGTGATCAAAGCACCAGATCACGGGATACGTCGACCGGATCGTGGAAGACGGGGGGAAAGTAGCACGGAGCTCTGAAATCCTGGAAAGTAGCACGGAGCTGTGAAATCCGAAGCAGCAGTGTCGGAGGCACTGGGCGTGATTAGTGTGGGCTTAGTGATCAAAGCACTAGATCATGAAAATTCATTGTATCTAGGAACCAAGAAGTGGTGGATATAGTGAATTGCTCTTGGATGATAAGAGCAAGTGGAGTAGGAGGATTACATCACCTCGCGAACCACTATAAATTGCCTTGTGTCATTTACTGTTTTATTTACTTACTGCTATCACGAGAATACACTTTACACAATCACACAACTCGTATTTAATTTTTCTGCTGCGTACAAGACTCTAATAATCTAGTTAAGAGTTTTGATATCTCTGTTGCCTTAGCAATTGTTGCATTCGCGAAAAGTTTGAAAGTCTATTCACCCCCCCCCCCCCACCCCTCTAGACTTTTACCACACCCCTTTGGGACCAACAATTGGTATCAGAGCAGGTGCCTATCCGAGTCAGAAAGTTGTCTTTAACTGATACCAACAATTGGTATCAGAGCAGGCTGTCTATTTGGGTCAATTTGATTCAAAGCAAGATTGCCTAATTGGGTCAACCTTGTTTCTGACTGCTAGACAGATCCATTTTACCAGTGTGTGATTGGATTATATTATTCTTTTCCCACGTGAAAATGAATAAGGATTTAGCTCAAAATTTATTATTCTCACTTGATAAATTTGATGATTGGAAAGTTCGTATGCAGGTTCATTTATCGGCTCGATAGAAATATTGAAAGTCAACCAGCTATTTGTGGAGAAGCTGTAAAGTAGTTAGGCTTACAAAGAATCTACGGCTTAGGGCATTGCAGTCAGAGTCTGGAGTTCAAGAGATTGAAGAATATGCAAAGTGGATTGCTAATATAGGTGACAGAACTATTGGTGATTCATTGGATGGAGAATGTGAGATCAACATTCCAGAAAAATTCTTACTCAAGTCGGTGGAGGATCCTATTTCTACAATTGTTGATAGGATATTTCCGGGGTTTCGTAATGAAAATCGAGATGTCAAATATCTAAAAGACTGTGCAATTTTGGCACCAACTTTGGACGTGGTAGATAACATCAATGAATACATGAATGAATTTAATACTGCCGAAGGAATGACATATCTCAGTTGTGATTCGGTATGCAAATCGGATTCCAACGTTGACATGATTGCTGATCTACACACGCCGGAGTTTTTAAATGGATTACGATGTTCTGGAGTGCCAAATCACTCATTGACTTTAAAAATTGGATCACCCGTTATACTCTTGAGAAATATTGATCACTCATTGAGGTTGTGCAATGGTACAAGAATGATCATTTCAAAGTTGGCTACACACGTTTTAGAAGCGCAAATATTGACCGGAACAACTGCTGGTACAAAGGTTTTAATACCAAGGATGTCCTTAACACCATCAGATCCAAGATTGCCTTTTAAGTTTCAAAGAAAACAATTTCCGCTAATGTTGTCATATGCCATGACAATAAACAAAAGCCAGGGTCAAACATTATCAAACGTCGGTTTATTTTTGAAGATGCCAGTTTTTAATCACGGACAACTGTATGTAGCCGTGTCAAGGTTTAGTAATCCTAGCGGATTAAAAATGTTGATTTTTGACGAAAATGTACAATCCAAAAATACGACTACAAATGTCGTATATAAGGAAGTTTTCAATAATGTGTAATAAAAATCACAGTTCATACTATTACATTTACAACATGTTTGGTTCACGGAATGAATTTTGAGGTAATAGGAATGCTATTCCATAAGGAATGGAATAGGCAAGGAATAGAATAGGAATTGTATTCTATTGTTTGGTTCGATGAAGGAATAGATTTTAGGAATTATATTACAGTGTTTGGTTGATTTAAGGAATAGAAATGAAATATGTTTTAAGACATAAATACCCTTATAAAAATATGTGATGGTAGCAATGGTGGTGGTGGTGGCGGCGATGGTGGTGGCGGTGGTGGTGCTGGGGTAGTAGTGGCGGTGGTGGTGGTGACGGTGACGGTTGTGGCAGTGGTGGTTGTTGTGGCAACGGTGGTGGCAGTGGTGGCGGTGGTAGCGGTGGTGGTGGCGACGGTGATGGTTGTGGCAGTGGTGGTGGGGCGGCGACAGTTGTGGCGGGGGTGGGGGTGGCGGTGGTGCTGCTGGGTGGCAGTTCTGGTGGCGACGGCGGTGGCGGTGGTGGCGATGGTGGTGGTGGTGGGGGCGGCGACGATGACGGTTGTGGCAGTGGTGGTGGGGACGGCGACAGTTGTGGCGGTGGTGGTGGTGGTGGTGGTGTCGGTGGTGTTGCTGGGTGGTGGTGGTGGTGGCGGCGGTGGTGGCGATGGTGGCGGTGATGGTGGTGGTGCTAGAGTGGTAGTGGTGGTGGTGGCGGTGGCGGTGGCAGTGGTGGGGGTGGGGGTGGCGGTGGTGGTGGCGACGGTGACGGTTGTGGCAGTGGTGGTGGGGCGGCGACAGTTGTGGCGGTGGTGGTGGTGGCGGTGGTGTTGCTGGGTGGCAGTTCTGGTGGCGGCGGTGGCGGTAGGGGCGGCGACGGTTGTGGCGTTGGTGGTGGCGACGGCGGTGGTGGCAGTGGTGATGGTGGTGGTGGCGACGGCAGTGGTGGCAGTGGTAATGGTGGTGGTGACGACGGTGGTGAAATAGGATAAATTTATATATAGGAACAAAAATTAGGTTAAAGAAAGGGGTAAAAAAGGAAATAGATTCTAAAATCTATTCCTGAGCGTTCAGTAATAGGCTAATACCAGGGGGGACCCTAGTAATAGCTATTACCTTATTTGAGGTAATAGGCTTTTACCAGGAATATTATTCCTGGTAATAGAAATGGTTACCAAACAACGGAATAGGCCTATTACTGGGAATGCTATGCCATTCCCGGCCTATTCCGTGAACCAAACAGGCCATTAATGGTAAGGCCTTACGTATTACTTCTTAGATTTATGACCGTGCATCGCACGGGTGCAAATATTAATTTTTACAAACAAGCGTAACTTTAGGTACCACATTCATTGGTGCACAAGGTCTAAAAGCCACATTATTTATTATTTATGATCTTCAAAAGTACAAGAAATATGTTCGACTCATTCAAACATTCTTTTCACAGTATAAAATAATCAACACTAAACTATACACTTGTATGCACAAGAAGTCCATTGCAAACCCTCATTGCATGGATTGAACCCCTCGAACACTACACTACCACTAAAAGTAAATCACAGCAAATCATTGCAAATTATATCGGAGACAAATTAATATATTATGTACATATATTCTTACATCTACCCTTGTTCTAAATTCATAATATATGAGCTATAGGTAAATAAACTAATGTACATAATGCATTAACTACATAAATATAATCTAGACCAGATCCACAATGCATATGGTAGACCCTAATCTACACTACAATGGTTGAAAAATAGAGAACCACCAAAATGGTTTTTATAAATTTGATAAATAAAGGACAGTTTTTTAAATGTGATTTATATTTGTAAAAATGCCCACAACTAGTTTCTGCTTATCGTACATTCATAAATTGTTCTGGAGTAGAGGACTCTTCAGGTAGGGATCATCTCTGTACTTTGAGTATAGAGGAAGCTCAAGGGCATTCTCTGCAACTCTTCTATCCTCATGAATCTTTGCTATCAAGCTTTCAAGCGATGAAAAGTTGGCCTGAAATGTCATGTGCAGTAGTCGATAAACAAGATTTGCCATAACTAACACGATAAAAGGCGCAAAAAAGAGGCTAATGTGTACTACCTCAGGCCGTATATAGCCCACAATTACAAGATGCAATTCCTCCCCATAGAAATCCTCACTAAAGTCATGTAGCAGCCACGGCTCCTGAAAGAACAAGAAATTTTTTGATAATTATGAACTGATCTGAGGAAAGGTATGTATAGATCAGAGTTCTGTTTTTATGTAATGTATCACACTCACTATGGTCTTCTCCGTGTTATTGAAGTATGGGTTCCAACCGATGCTCATGACCATTTTGTATATACCATGATTAGATAATCCAGCCCACCCGAAATATACGCCTGATGGATATTCCGTAAGGAGGTCTGAATACCCGGTTGTAGATAAATTGGCTGAAATAATAAGTAAAAATGATAAGAGTAACTTCTTGTTTTTTTTTTTTTTTTTTTTTTTTGAAAGGAAGTAACTTCTTGTTAATACTGATGCTGATGAATAAAAAAGAAAGGAAATCTAGCAATGGATTCTCCAATATCCTCAATGCCCCCTCCAACAACTATGATATTTCAAGGCCCGTAAACAACGAACATAAAGTGCAATTTTACCGACTAGTTTACAAGATAGTAGCATCTAAACTTTTATGGAAATCCTACTAATATCCAAAGGACAAGTATTGATTCAGCAGAAATTAGTAAATTTGTTTAGGCACCTGTTGGGATCCCAAGCACCTTTGAGCCACGACCAAATCCTCTAACGACAGGTCCACCAATGTGCCAAGTTTCTATAGGTAAAGTTCCTTCTACCCCTGCATAAGTTTGATTGTCAGAAATGACAAACTGAAACATCACTTAATATGCATAAAATGGTAAGAAACACATACAGTCTTGAAATGCAGGCAGGCCCCACTTTTCCGGATGCAAATCAAGAAGTGAATTGATCACCTCATCAGCCGAAGTGTATAGATGAGACTGTTTAGGAAGGGATGGTACAACAACCACTTCCATTTCAGCAGCCTTACCAGCAGTAACACCAGGCCTGACATAGGCATCATTCCATTTAGAAATCAGTCTAGCTATTGGTAGTTCATAAAGTCCACAATTCTATTGTTGATTCAACAAATAAAATTAAGAAAACTACGATATATGTTGATTAATTAATATTGAACAAAGCCATAACCTGAAAGTCTACAAGTCATATCTTAATTAGTATTATGCACAGGTACTTTGTAAGATGCTGTTTTTGAAGTGTATGCTTTATTAGATATAATTGCTACCGCAATAAACTTTTTGACTATGAAAACATTACATCATAAAAAAAATAAAATTGAAGTGCTATATTACTCCAGGTTATCACCTAACTAGCATCAAATTCATATCCACAAAAAAAAAAAAAAAAAAAAAAAAAAAAAAAAAAAAAAAAAAAAAAAAAAAAAAAAAAACAAATCATAGAATACTCACAATGAATCTTCAATGACAAGACAGTTGGATGGATTTACACCAAGTCTTTTAGCCACTTCAAGAAAACTTAAACAAGAGAAGAACACAATATATAAGGATACCACAAGAGAATATCATGTAAAGCATCTGAATAAGAAAGATCTTTATATTCAATCTTACATTTCAGGATTTGGCTTTCCAGCTGTAACTTCATCACCTCCAACAATGGCGGAGAAGGATTCCTTCCAACCTATAGTATGTAAATGATACTCTAAAATAAGCAATTTCATGCAACATTCTTGATGTGTCATATTTGCATTATATTTACCTAAATTATGAGACAGACCGACAAGAAAAAGAATAGGTTTGAGTGCCAACTACCTTGATGATAAGAAATTTTTGTCTCTATGTTTGACTTCGGAGAATTAGAAGCCAAGGCCATTAGCACACCATGACTTTTGAGATGATTAATCAATCGATTGGCACCTGGAAGAGCTTTAATATTGGACCACCTACAATTAGAATTAGAAATAATGATTACTCCCTCCATCCCACTTTACTTATCTTGTTTGCTGTTTTATTGGTAAATAAAACTAAATTTTGAATTATGTTTTAAGTTTTGAAAATAAAAATTAGATATTAGGAGACTATATGTTTAGTTCTAGTCGCCCCAAGATTCATAACTTAAAATTACCAAAAAAAAAAAAAAAAAGCTTTAAAATGTTGGTCAAAATTAAATTGTGTTGACAAGTGAAATTGGAAACCTTCTAATAATATGACAAATTTTATGCCCAAGAACATGGAACCTTCAAAAAAGGCTGTACATTATTCAGAACAAGAGAACATTAACATATATTACCGCTCAGAAAACATTGGAGTAATTTGTGTAAGAAATTCTTCTTTTGTTAAGGGAATCTCATAATCTTCAACAACCACAGCTGCAGCTTCTACAGGTGTCTTCCCTACTATTTTATGAGCTTCTCTGCCATCCCATTGCTTTCCATAATTAACTAGGGCAACCTTTAGAACATCACTCACAATGCCATCTGACAGGAAATTAAGTTCAATTTGAAACTGGTATTCACAAAGCAAAAGAAAAGGAAAAGAAAATAAAACCTCACATGTACAGAATATGTTACTTCAGATAGGTTGTTCTACATAACTAAGTCATGTTCAAAGTTGATCAAAGATGTTCAGGTCTAGCATTGTAGATCATTTAAAATCTCAGGAATAAATGGTCAACCAATTCTCCCTACATGAATTTCAAGCACATTATTATATCATTTGACATAAAGCATTCCACACAAAATGCAATGATGTAGATGAAAAATATGTAGAATGGAACATTCATCGTACGACAAAAATATACTACATATAACACATGAAGATGTAATGGTATTGAAGGAGAGTTCAGGAAATTGTATGGTCGAAATAAATTTTATTTTAAATTTTTTAACTTTTATGGTTGGTGCAGTTTAATTTTGGATCACGAAAATGCCTAAAAAGGAAAGGGATGATTTCTAGTCTACTGGCTCAGAAATTAGTCTGTTCATTTATCAAGCAATACATACATAGCAAGAGTGCAAATCACCTGTGTTTAGAAGTGTACCATCCAAATCAAGAATAACACAAGAAACAAGCTTCTTTAAAGGTTTCACCAATGACATTGTGAAGAGTGTCAAAGAAGCCCAAATCAAGGTACTTGTGCTCTTTTAGGTAACATATATATCACCTCCTGTTATACCAGAAAGAAGCAAGATTTGATTGATAAATATACCATAAGATCCTAATTCAACTTCATAAACAGTAAATATTAACTATCTAACTGGAAAGCCTTGTTGCATACACATAGAAGCCTTATGCTATCAGCAATTGATAAAGGTATTTATACCACCAAAGCATTTGGTCTTAAATATTAGGAATTATTTGCAACAAGCACAAAAGACATTGTGAAGAAGTGGATGGAAGCCATCATTAACAGGCCGTGAAGCAATGCTTTGCCTACCAAAACACTAAGCGGTTTGGGATTCTTACTTATTCAAGTTAGTTGATAATACCAATATGTAAGTGGAAAATTTTAAATTTGGCAAAGAGCAATATCAAGAATAACAAATTCTATAAAAAAAAAAAAAAATCAACTCCTCAAAGTGCATGATACACAATGCGAAGTCCACTACCAAGGAGAATTGAGTATTTGAGTAGGGATGGTCACAGGGCGAGGAACGGCATATTCCCGTCCCCGACCCCTATTCCCCACCCTCGCATCCCTGTCCCTGCAGGGAATCCCCAGCCCCAATCAACACCCCATTCAAAATAGTTGAACACTGCACATCCGAGACCCCTCTTTTGCACTTGAGTGAGCACAAAACTTAAAACATAAATTACAAAAACAAGAATGTTGGAAATGATCTAACCTCAAGATTTTAGAATGATATGAAGCTAAAAATTTCTTACTTGTCATGCTAGTAATTTCAGTTCACTATTCAAAATCAGTAGCCATCTCTAGAGTCTAGAACAGAGTAAAGTATGGGGATAATCACAATTAAAGTTTTCACAAACCAATCACTTATGAAGTTATGATACAAATAAGAAAAATGAGTTTTTAAAACAAAACATGGTTTTAGCTAAAAATGAAAATTCAATGAGAGAATTTAACCCCAACCATCTCTATTTGTTCCTCAAATATTTGAATAATTAAAGCAAAATCCTTAACAATCAATTTCAACTCATCTATGGTGGAAAATAGAAAACGTTAACAGATTAAAAATATACTCCGTAATATAAAGCATCCCTCAAAGAATTACACCAACGAAATTGAAAATTATAAATAACACCCAAAATATGAACTTACAAAGAAACTGATGGCATATACTCCATAAAATTAAGAGGAAAAGGTGTTTAAAAAAAAAAAAAAACATATTAAGCGGGCAAGGAGGGAGAGTGCCAGAGGGAGTGGCGAACTAGGGACTACTAGTTAGTGGTGGCAAATTTCAATGAATAGCAGTGTAACTTGAATACGAGCTTGTGCACTTGACACTTCGTGACTACCTTGACTAGAAGAATCCTCAAAAGTAGATTTCTTTTAAAGAATTTTCACACACACACAGAATCCTCAAAAGTAGATTTCTTTTAAAGAATTTTCACACACACACACACACACACACACACACACACAAATGAGAGGTCTTAGGTTCGAACCCCAGTGCAGGGGCATTGACTCTTTGTGCTTCAGTAGGTTGAGAAAGTATGTATGAACAACAAAATACTACATTCTAATAGAATTAATAGCATTCAAAAAAAAAAAAAAAAAAAAACAAACTACACAAATTTCATAATTAAGAGTACATTTTCCAAATTAATCCAGGAAATCAAGCATGGCTGATAATAAACAAGTAAATTAATTTTAAAAAGGCAGACCAGATAGATTGGTGAATGAATTTGAGCGAGTCTTCAACCAAAGTGGACTCCAGAGTTCAGGAAGTAAAGGACCCAGAAAATCAATCGTTCATAGGGATTTGTATGCATATTGCGACGAGATTCTCGTCTCTCGGATTTTAAAGCGAAGCACTAGGGGTGAAAGAGCTCAGTAAGACAGTAACGGGCTTTTGGATTTATTGCACTCATAAAATTGGTGTCTAGAGAATGAGCATGAATGGGACTTTATTCTTTGTAACAAAAAATGTTCAAATTAGCTACTAAATTATATGCAAAATATAATTAGGCCATTCAATTAAAAAAATTATAATTGAGCCCTTTTTATTAATAATTGAGCCTTATTTAAAATTATTATGCAATATCTGTTTTTTTATTATCAGTTTATCACTGATGTGACGATCATTTTATTAAAATTTTGTTTTTAAAAATTTATTTTAATAATTTTAAATAATATGGAATATAAAAAAACCACCCTCCCTTTTTTATTTTATTAAAAATTATTAAAATACTTCTTAAAATATTTTTTTAATATGATGATCGTCAAGTCAGTAATAACTAGAAAAATATGTCAATTTTGGTTAATAACTAGAAAAATAGGCCAATTTTGGTTGAATTGCATGACTTTGGACAGTTCAAAGACATAATTGTACTTTTAAAAAAAATAAAAAAATTAAATGGCCAATTACATTTTTGCCTGTAGTTCGATGACTAATTTAAATATTTTTATCTCGTTTCGACCCCAAACTCACATAACTAATCCAGGCATTATGCAATGCTCTAACTCCTAGACATAAGATAAGCATTCACAAATCCTTCCAATTAAAGCAATTAATCTTTAAAGTTTAGCAGCATAAAACCAATAAAGGACAAGAGGACTAGAGTTTAGAGGAGAGAGATGATGCAAAAGCTATAGGAACAAAATTTTAAATTATTTATAAAATAAAATAAAATTAAAAAAAAAAAAAAAAAAATCAGTAGATCCAATGCACACCCTACTTCACTATTCAAAATTCAGATAAGTTCAGATATTTGAGAACTCCTGAATGTATTAAGGTTGATTCTGATTGTACCAGTCCATATTCTCACATAACCAATTTACCATCAGCTATTCGCACCCTAATAAACATCTGATGAGATTCCAAATCAGATTTCAAGTTTACACATCTCTTCCAGTCTACACTTCCTACATGTCCTAGGAAAAACCACATATAACTCTCAACGGAGAGTGCCCCCACTCTTATTCAACCAAGAAGAAAAGAAGGATACAATGGAGGACATCAGCAGAGGAATAGGAATGGAAAATGCTGGTCTGAAAAATGCCATACCCTAATTTCTAGAAGACAAAATATTCAGAGTTTACACAAGCATTGGACCAAAGCTTAACCATAGTGAGATAACTCTTTACCATATTGTATCCCTCTCTGTAAGGATAAGAGAGAAGAATAGATGGAAGTAAGAAAGGAATTAGATGACTAAAGAAGCATGCTTCCACCTCATTTCCACAAACAAAAGACATGCATTTGCATTAAAAAACTAAAATAAGTTGAACAACAACTCACTAACTCATATTGCCCCCAATACTATTAATAATTTTGCACCCCAAACTTCACACTAGACCACACTCCAAACTCTGCACTAGACAAGCACAACACAGGGCATCTAGTTCTTATATTTGAAGAATAGTTTCCATTAATGAAGGCATTCACAATTGAATAATCTAAACCAACTTTTACTTCATCAGTTTTAAACCTTTACAAGTAGACACTCCTATTACATTCTTGATCTATCACTTTTACTACATGCTAGGACCTTTTTTCTACTTGCAGAAAGAACAGCAGAAGTATACAACAAAAATGCAGGGCACAATCAACACCACAAAATGTCAAGATTCACCTATTTTTTTCTTCACCCTTTTAAAACCACAGCCAATGTGGACATGAAACAATAAAATCAACAATAATGAGAGAACAAAAACATGCACATCTGAACATTTTCAAACAGATATACTTTGGGGATTTCAAAAGTATATTTATTGCCATTCCTATTCACTGCTTACACTGATTTTCCATTCTTTACAGCAATAAAAACACAATAGTTAGCACACACTGAGCTAAGCTTACTTCCACTAATATAAACACATTCGAAATTCATGACAACAGTAAGTGGCTATTTTACTAAAATTTAAGATATGGCCAGATGAACCTGCAAAAACTATACAATCTTGTACCCAAAAAAATAAAAAACATATGATTTGGGATGACCATTTGTTTGGCATTCCCATCAATCACCGTACTTTGTTTTGTTTGTTGATAGGTATCACCATACTAAATTCTTGCTGTTGTGAAATGTATTCCAGTTGCCAAAAGTTGAAATAAGCTTGTTTCAGTAATACATCCAAATTTTATTTATAATTTACTAAGAACAATAAGCAGAGGGGCAATGCATAACAAGAAATGCTTAAAGGTCAACAAAGAATTTCAGCAGTGGTACAAAATGAAAGTTCATGTTAGGAAAAGGAATCAAGTGGTAAACCAACAAGCCAATACCTTGCAGCCAGCCACCTAATCCATTTCTACACCCCTCTATGACGGTGGAGGCAAGCAAGTACTCCTCGGTCGTCGAATAATCTAATTGTTCAGCCAGCCAACAAAGCAATCAGCTAATCGGAAGAATCAAATTAATCCAATCCAGCAAGGGAAATCACGTCAGAACACAGTTCCAATCGTGTTGCTTTGCTAATTTTGACCCGAATGAAAGAAGGCGAATCCAGTATTCTCCTCCGTATTACGGCCGGGACATGCTTCTCTCAAATCTGGTTAATTTCGCACAATTAAATCCGGGTTTTGGTTCTCTACTTTCAAGTGTACCTGGCTTTTACCCTCTTGTTTTTAGTCTTTCTGGTCTTTATCTTTGCTGCGCTGTGGTATTTTTTGGGGGAATGAAAGTAGAGAAATTGGGGATATAAATAGTATTTTTCATTCTTTAATGGAAAACTAAAAGTGTGTTTTAAAAAAATAATTGACCAAATATTAATTTTGGTTCCACGAGTATTAGTAAAAAGATAGTTTTGGTCCATATATTTAATTCATACCAATTTTCATCTATGACTATTGATTTTTATCTACGACTATTGTTTTAGCACCAAAATTCATCATGTAGGTCACTCCTTTGTTTAAAACATGCCAAAATATGAAATTATTAAGAACATTTTTATCATTTTCAAATTAAGATCTCAATTTGAGCATGAATAAAGGGATTTAAGTATCGATCTAATTCACAGTTCTCCTCCTCAAATTAAGGTAAGATGGGGAGGACAATTGCGAATTGGGATCGATCTTAGGGCTTAAATCCCTTTATTCATGCTCAAATTGAGATCTTATGTTGAAAATGACGAAAATACCTTTAAAATTTTAGATTTTGACATGTCTTAAATGGAGAAGTGGCCGGCGTGATGAATTTTAGCAATAAAATAATAGCCGTGGATGAAAATTGATACTAAAACAATAATCGTACATGAAATTTGGTAGGAATTAAATATATGGTCCAAATTGTCATTTTGCTAATACTTGTGGGATCAAAATTGATATTTCCTTAAAATAATATTTTATGATATATCTTTATTTGATTAGAGTAAGAAAGGAAAATAAATAAAACTAACAACTTTTTATTTAAATATATATATATATATATATATATATATATATATATATATATATATATACCGGCAAAATGGACTTTTTGAAAAAGAAATAGAAAGCAATGCTAAATCACTTCCTAATATTTGTATGTTTACGTTGTAATATTTGATTAATACGGAGATTAAAATTTTATTTTAAGAGGGAATGAAGTCTGTCAATTTACATATATATATAATCAATGAATATGAATATTTTTGTTGTTTGTTAGGGAAAAAATGGAATCAGAAAATAATATCTTTCAAAATAAGATTTTTCATATCATTATTTTTTTCGTAATTTCGGTGTTGTGGTTATTGGCCCATCACATTAGAAATTGGGTGACCTATCAACCGTTAAATTAGTAAACTTTCTATTTTGCATTATGATCTTATTGGTGTATAATTCAAAGTTGAAATTCAAATTCACTATTCGAATCTCCATTTTTTTAAATTATATTATTAGATTTTTAGATTAGATACTTGTCCCGTCACTTTTTCCATGATTCCGGGGTGTTGTGATTATTGGTCCTTCACATGACAAATGGGGAGACCAATCAACTATTCAACTGTTATATCAATAAACTTTCTATTTTGCATTATTATCTTATTGGTGTAAACTTAAGACATCTTTGAAAAATAAAGAGTAAATACCACCTATGGTCCCTCGAGTTTGGTGGCATCGCCATCAATGGTCCCTAACTTTCATAATTACCGGGCGTCATCCTCCGAGTTGCGAAAAGTGGCCTTCAAGGGTCCTACCGTTAGTTGTTCCCGTCTGAGACGTCAAAATGGAGGGCAAAAGAGTCATTTGACTTTATGCGAACGTTTTAATGCATTTTACAATTATTTGGAGAACAAACGTCCATCAATTGATTCCCAAATTACCAACTCTCAAACCCTAAATGCTATCTCAGTCGAAATTAGTGGCGATTGCGAAGGAAAAAGTTGCGGATTCTTCATCGACGAAGTAGCAATTTCAAGGTCAGAATTCAAGACGAAAATAGGGCACACTTCAAAGAGGTCATGGGTTCTCCGCAACGGCAGTCGAATGCTATGTGAACTAACTAAGTAGGGATTTCTTTGTGTTACAGAAACCTTGTATATGTATTGGTTGTTGTTGTTAAAAATTTGAGTATGTGAACTGCATTCGTTTAAAGTATAGTATTGGGCTTTGTTTATGGGAACATGGGGGCCCTGTCTAGGTGGTGGGAGACCATGAACTGCATATGTTGTTTAAAGTAGAATTTTTGTATTTTTTTTTGTTATTTATGTTGAAAGCACATATGTTGGGTTGAAATTGGGGACCATAGAGGGTTGAAAGCACATGGTAGTGTGTCTTTTTGTTCTGTAAACAATTGTGGACAGGTCCTACTGAAATTGGGGACCACAGAGGGTTGAAAGCACATATGTTGTGGCTGTGTTAAAAGTTAAATTTGTGTATTGCCTTTATGTGTATTATATTCTGTCTAGGGACTACTTTGCTTGGGATAGTAAACCATTTGAAATCCAGATTTCTGTCTGCTTATATAATAGTGTGTAATGAGCCTATTTGTGGCTACTTTGCTGTACAGGTAATGTTCCTGGTGGTGGTTTTGTTTTGAATTAATGTAAGCATATAAACTCACGTAGGAACATAAATACGTGATAGGATCTTATTAAAGTACTAAGTACTAACCTCCAGCCATAGCTTCCGATTGATGATGATTGAGTAGTCACGCGACTGCTGCAGAGTAACAGTATATGTTTCTCTCACTTTCTCAACCCTCTCTGGATGGTATATGAGGAATGAATGTCAAGCAGTGAGAGGACTAGAGGGTTCTTTATATAATAACCATATGCCATCAATATGGTAACTGAATCCATTCCTAATCACACTCCTTATCTTTTACAATCAATCATTACCTTAATTGATAGGAGTATGTATGGAAGAATTGCACCACATAACAGATTACCTTAATTATTATAAGGTTGACCTAATATTATAATAATGTAATCTGGGAAAACTTTACATTCTCCCACTTGGTGCAAACTCCATAACCCCAAAAAACAGAAAAACACCGACCATAGGATATGTCCTCCTTAAATCGAGTAGCATCCATTATGATCAAATGTAAACCGCCCTTCAGCACTTAATTTAGGAAATACAAAACTTAATGAAACAAACCCTATGTTTATTTCAAGTCCAACTGAAGTACATTATCTCAACAAAATAAAGGTGTACACACTTAATGAGATTAATGTCAAAATGCAAAAGAATTTCATTAAAACTGAATACTGAATGTATATATACAAATTACAAAGTGGGTGAAAGTCTCATTTTCTTAACAAGATCCTTGAATTTAACTGAAGGCATGCATTTAGTCAAGGGATCTGCTAACATCAACTCGGTAGTAATGGCTAAGAACTTGATGTTGATGTGCTTAATTCGACTCCCACTTTTTTTTCTTAGCCAGGAAGACTGTAGCTAAGTTATCACAATAGACTTTCAGTGGCTTAGATATAGAGTCCATAACTCTAAGCCCAAAGATGAAATTCTTGAGCCACACACCTTATGAAGTGGCCTCGTAACAGGAAACGAACTCGGCTTCCATGGTAGAAGTAGTTATTAAAGACTATTTAACACTTCTCCATGAGATAGTCCCACCGGCCATAAAAATGTACCCTAAAGTTGATTTTCGAAAATCAACATAGCCAGCGAAGTCCATATCAGAATAACCGACAACATCTAGGATGTCCGTCTACCTAAACCGAAGCACGTGACTCTTAGTTCCTTTTAGATACCTCAAAACGCTCTTCAAGAGAAATTGTTTCACATCAGAAACATCTCATTGTCATTGGTGGCAAGCAAAATGTCATCCACATATAAAACAAGAAAGCATATTTTACTCCCACTCACCTTCTGGTATATACAATGGTCAAGAGGATTTTCAACAAAACCAAATGAAGAAATAACCCCATCGAACTTGATATACCATTGATGAGAAGCTTGTTTTAGACCGTATATGGATTCTTAAGCTTACGAACTAAATTCTCACCACCCCTAGAAGAGAAACCTATAAACTTTCTCTTCTAGATCACTATTAAGAAACACAGTTTTCACATCTATTTGTTGTAACTCAAAATGCGCAACTAATTCCAAAATGACTCGAAGTGAATCTTTCTTTGATACAAGAGAGAAAGTCTCCTTGTAATCGATTCCTTCCTTTTGACTAAATCCCTTCACAACAAGTCGGGCCTTGTATCTCTCAATATTGCCTAATAAATCTCTTTAGGTTTTAAAGACCCATTTACAGACCATAAGGCAATTCAACAAGTTCCCGAACCCCATTGTTCTTCATGGAATTTATTTCATGGCTTTATACCATAAGTCAGATTAGGCACATTTAGTGGCTTGAGAAAAACTTCTTAGGATCATTTTCGACTCCGATGTCAGATTCTTGTAGATACGAAATGTAATAACTAGGAACTGTTGATCTTTTCAACCGAGTAAACCGTCTTAATGTTGAACCTCCATCACCTTGCAAAGGTTGTGGGGCAACTACCTCTTCAAGAACTGGGGACAGTCCTTGGATTGGTTCAGTCTATATCGGCTCAGAATTTTGTAAATCCTGAATTGGTTCAACCATAGGTTTAGAATCTAGCTCAGGAAATTGCTGTAAGTCCTGAAGTGATTATTCCAAAGGTTGAGTCTCAACAGTTTGTGGAATCTCAACAATAGGTTGTATAATCGCAAGTGGGACTGAAGGAACATTGCGTATAATTACAACCCTATTGGATGACGTAGAAGGTTGAGAGCCATTATGATCGAATGAAGGAACTAAGTCCTTTAATCAATCTCTCCCACTGATCAAGTCATCTTCAAGAAACTTAGCGTTCCTTGATTCCAGTATCCTAGTAGTATGATATGGACAATAAAACCTATAACCCTTAGAAGATTGTGTATATCCAATAAAGAAAGCACTAATAGTCCTTGAGTCAAGGTTCTTTTCGTGCGAGTTATATATCCTCCCCTCAGATGGACATCCCTAAATACGCATATATTGCAAACTCGGTTTCTAACCTTTGAATAACTCAAATGGTATCTTAAGGACAACCTTAGTTGGAACACGGTTTAATATATATACGTTTCCGTCTTAAGTGTTTCACCTCACAACGATTTTGGAAGGCAAGATTTACTTTGCATACTCCACACCATATTCAAAGGGTCCAGTTCCTTCATCCAGCAACACCGTTTTAGT